TTATCAAATAAAATTTTATTTAAATATTTTAAAAATTAAAAAATATAAATTATAAGCATATTTTTAACAATTTTCTAGATAAATTTGTTTAAAAAAACTTACAAATTAAGGAATAACATATTGTATAAAACTAGATTAACTGTGTATGAAATATGATAGACTCTAGTAAGTCTTTTGTCAAGGATAAAGTAATTCTAAAAGTACCAATAAGCATTAGAAACTTGGATAAGCAATACTCTGAAGATGTTCTTATAATACAAGATGGATTGTATATGTAAAAGGTTTAAATAAACAAAACCTTTAGCTAGCTTGCAAGTATAACATCTAATATAAAACTTATATAACAATATATAAGCAAACTACTTAAATTAGATATCAAAAATATATATATAGTTAGTTGTAACCTCCAATGTAAGAGAACTTTTAAAGACGATCTATATTCTATAAACTTGAATAAAAATATTATATTCTGAAAATAAAAACTTTAATTTAAAAAAAAAATTATTTAAATCATATAATAAAATAATCTACATATATTCTACTCTTAAAATGTGTAAACTAACTTAATACATTGCAAAAAAAAATAAATATATAAGGTTAAGTCAATAAAAATCAAGAAAATTTTTTCCAAGTAAATTTTTTTAATAAAATTTATTTAAAATAAAAAAAAATTATAAATAATAACCCATTACATTAGTGATACTATATATAGCATCCAATCATATTTAGAGTTAGTAAAATTTTTTTTTTATTTTTTTTATAAAATTTAAAAAAAGCTTGACTAATTTTAGTTGATCAATAGTAAGCAACTTGTTATGTAGTCACATGCTTAATTTTGATTGGCCAATTATATAGGGTCGTCATGGCGACCTGTCACTATAAAATAACGTCTTAAAATAAATTCTACAAACTTATAGAATTTTTTAATAAAGTTTTTATTAAATTTTATCAAGTTTTTAGCATTTAGAGGTTTAAAAAAATTCAAAAAGGACGAATTAGAATATCTCTTTTTAAAGGTGAAAAAAACACCCGATTTTCAGCAAAAACACCACGATAATATCACGATGATCTTTCAGTCGATTGGTAAATTAGCAAACTTATGTTGATGCTCAGGAGTGTAGTTATTTGTACTAATCTTGATGCAGGCCAAAATTGAAATGATACCTGGGTGATTTTGTGTTTCACACCGTGTGTAAAATGAATTTCTATTTTAATAAAAAGCTTTTTTATATTATTATTATATATAAAAATTAAATTGAATTAAACGGCCAATCATATGAAAATATGAAAATCGAAGATCATTAATAAGTTAACAAATAAGGTATGTTACGATATCACGTTTACATTTTAGGATCAGATTTATCTAACATCTACCATATTATTCTGAATCAATGTTTATTTACCACTGTTAATTTAAATTTCTGTCAACATTAAAACTGAAGCTATGATTAATGACATTATTGTCCATTGCTTGGAGGAACTTGCCTTAGACGGTGATATAGGTATAATGCTGTACAAACCTACATAGATCTAAAAATAAAAATAATTAATTTGTTTTTTTTTCGAAATTTAACCATATTAGGTTGTAATCTTGATAGATTATGGGAATTTGTACAGAATTTTTTTGATCAACGCTTAAGAGATAGGAACGTTCACTCTATTGAGTCCGGATCATCTACACAACCATCCAAATCATCAATACAATGCTTAGATGATTTATACAAATCATACTTTTGGTCGCAATTTGTGAACTCTAAAGTATTGGTTTTTTTTCTTTCAAATGCAAACACAAATGATGAATCAACTATAGATGTAAGAACGGAGTTGACGAGTGAAAACCTTAACATGAAACAAGTTAGTTTTTTATCCTATTTTTGATTTCGGTACATTAATTGTAACTTGGTAATAATTTCGAATCCTTCATATAAATAGGGTGAAATTTTGTTAGATAAACATAAAATTTTAAAGATGACTCTTCAAGATGTACAAATTAATTATGGTGATAGTTTCCGAATAAAAACTATACCCGAATATCAGAAGCGGATAATATTTGGTGCTGTCGATGTATGCGCTATAAACATATCTACTATAAACTTGATTTTATTTCTCAATGTTTATTGGAATCTTTCTATTTTAGACGACAAGACAGATAACACCGATAGTCTATACTATATTACAGTATATTGCGCGACATCGTGCTATTGGTGCCACTCAAGCTGATATGGCAAAAGATTTACAAATAGATCCAAGATCATTCTATCATTATGTAAAGACGCTTATCAATTTAAAGCTAATGTAATTTTATATTTATTCACTTTTGTTGATTTGATTTGTTTTATTTACAAACTTATTCTAATATTTATAACTTTTAGAGTAAAATTACCCGTCGTTACTAAAGGAATATATACAAATTTATGCATTCTCACGAAATGCGCCTCTCAAAATCCTGCATATTTGGGAAAATCTGTATATCTACCTACAAATAATTCTAATAATTCTCGTTCAGTTCAATCTTCTGATTACACTTATGATCCAACGGACACTATTAGCGGTGGTGTATCTTTTAATTCTGAACTGATTAAAATCAAGTTTACTGAAATATTAGGGAAAGCTAAGAATCAAATTATGTTGGCTAATGATTTAATGGTGGCATTGGTACGATTGATGTTATTTTTTCATTAAAGTTACTCAAATTCTGGTCATTTTCTTCGTTTCTTTTTGATTATTATATTTATCCATACTTCCATACTTATCTCACTTATATAGTTTGGAGTATCGACACCAACAAAAAAACAGCGTCGCTGGTTTAATAGGACTATTGGAACTCTAACACATCAAGGTTATATCGAAAAAATAAATGTACCAAAAAAAGATTCAAACAAACAATTGGATCGATGTTTAAGACTCATTACACATTATGAAAAAGGAAAAGAACCTGAAATGGGTAAAACATTCGAATTTATTTAATTACTGATTTTTTACTATCCAAATCCTCTTGATTATTCTGATTAATTCAAAAAAATTTTGATTTTACATTTTAGGAAAATACAATCATAAATCGACAATAAGTACATCTGATAAAGGTCAAAGTGTAGTAGAGGATCATAAAATTGGAATTTATGCCGAATTACCCTTAGATTATCAAGTATATCAATTGATACAAGGTGCCGGTGAATATGGGATTATTGCTGGGGTTTGTACAAGAAAATTCCAATCTTGTGTAAAAAGGATTGTATCATGTAAAAATATATCCTAATTTTACTAGGCCATCAAAAATGCTTTCGGAAATATGAATCATCGTGTTTTGACAAAAATTCTTGAGCGATTAGTTAAACCAACTCCACCAGGTTTAAGTCGGTTTATTGTGAAGCGTGCTTCAGAATTTCAAGGTCGTGAAAGAAGATACCGTTATTTCTCCCTTGATGGTTATATAAAGTTTGCTACTTTTAATGGAATAGCATTAGATGATGATTTGCAACAACTTCAAGAGAATCAATCGTCTTCAATGTATATTCATGATCCATTATGGGGTGTGGAATTCCTTCTGGATGATGAAGAAGAAAAAGATGCGGACTTTTTGCAATCTCAGGAATGCAGGGATCGACGTAAAAGAAAAAAGGAAAAATTGCGGATGACTCAAACTAACATTAGTCAGGCTAGTCAATCTAGTCAAGCTAATCAGGCTGTACCTCAAGAACCACCTATTAAAAGAAAAAGAGGACGTCCACGAAAAATTGTTGATGATAAAAAGCCTGCCGTACCTAAAGGCAAGTGTGGGAGACCGAAAGGAAGTAAAGACAAAAAACCTAGAAAACCACCACGAAAAAAAATGCGAACCATTCAAGATGATGATGAAAATGAACTTAACAACGTACATTTGGAAGACGTTAATATAGAATTCAATGATATGCCATCCTCTAATGTCGAAACGACTGATGCTCCAAATCCTTTATCATTAAATGGTTCTGATAATATGGAATTCAATGATCTACCATCCTCTAACGTTGAAACGACTGATGCTCGAAATCCCTTATCATTAAATGGTTCTGATTGTATGGAATTCAATGATCCACCATCCTCTAATGTTGAAACGACTGATGCTCCAAATCCCTTATCATTAAATGGTTCTGATTGTATGGAATTCAATGATCCACCATCCTCTAATGTTAAAACGACTGATGCTTCAAATCCCTTATCATTAAATGGTTCTGATTGTATGGAATTCAATGATCTACCATCCGCTAATGTTGAAATGATTGATGCTCAAAATCCCCTACCATTAAATGGTTCTGATTGTATGGAACTTAATAATCTACCATCCTCTAACGTTGAAACGACTGATGCTCAAAATCCCCTATCACTAAATGGTTCTGATTGTATGGAAAGTTTATCGACTAACACCAATGATGAAAATCGGACATCGCGAGTTTCTAAAAATGTTACTAGGAAACGGAAAAAACCTGTATCAAATCGTAAATCCGAACCTGAAACTAGAAAAAAGTTTGCAAACTCTGCCTCAATTACAGCGGCTCTAAGACAGAATATAATATTGCAAATTTTAGAAGAACATCAAGTTGTGGAACTCGGTACTGAACTCATAAAACTATATCAACAAACATTGCAAAAGGAACCAAATAGTACGTCTAATCACGTAATTGACAAGAAAACTCTTCAACGTACTGGTTCACTAATGGAAGAAAAAGGTCTTCTTCGAACTTATAATGTGAAGTTACCCTTATTAAATGGTAATTATAATACCAAAATCCTTTTTCTCCATTCAAGCTTGACATCTTCAAGCCCGATAGTGAAAGAATATGTAGCAAAAATGGAAGATAGAGCTATACTTGTTGGTAGATCCCATAAGCAAACTAAGATTGAAGAATTAGATATAGAAGTCGAACCTCTAGAGCAACTTCAAAAACGTCTTGCAGTTGAAGCTGCAGCTGATGAATCAATCAATCTACTCAGCTTGCCAGCATCCAATAGCCATAATGAACCTGAATCTTATGAAGCATTAATGTCTAATATGTCATTAACTGTTGATCCTACAACAGTCTCATCCGATACGCTTGAAACGCCTGACTCAACCTCAGTTAATTCTCGTGTACAAACTTCTAATGAAATGTGGTGGCTTCATACGGCACGTGGTTATGGATGGATTAATGCTAAAATGATTCGAGCAAAAATATTGCATCAATATTTAATTACTAAAATTATTGATGCGTCTCCCAATGATTCTTGTATTGAAAAAAATACTAGAACATTTCATACAACAATCCTTCTTCGTGATCTTCCACTTGAGTTATATCTTAAAATCATCGGACAATCAATCCCGAGTCATCGACTGACCGAATACGTTCGTTCTGGACAAAGCCTATCGGTGAGCGTTATTAAACTTCCATCAGAATTACGTGCAGAACTTTTTTCTGGAAATTATAAATTAAGACAAAATCTAAAAAAATTAATCGATATCCTCGTAGCGTTGAAAATTCTAAAACCAATTAGAAAAGGTTTTAACGAACGTGGTGATCCTGTTTTGGAAGTTGAAAATAAGGAATCAGATTATTTTGATGATGAATTAGGTAGATGGTCACCGAGTACGCCAACATCATGTAGTCCTCCACAAACTCTTTTAGCACCAGCGTATCAATTAATGCGTCATGTTCCAATGATTGACTTCTCAGTTTCAGGTCCAGATAGACCAATTATCAGAGATTATATGCTTGATTCTGTTGAAGATGTGACAATTTATTGGAATGAATTGCAATATGTTGCACGACAAAAAATGGTCGAGACAGGGAATAAAAGTAATAATGAACTTAGTGGTGATGATGAAACTCGAAAGAAATCAGCACAAGATGATGATTCTATAGATCCTTTAAGGTTTATTACTTTATCACGTAATTGGAATGCGGGCTATCCTTTGACTGCTAAACAAAAAAAGATGTTAGAACATTATGTAGATCGTAGGAAATCAAAAACTCCTTACGAAGATGAAGCTTTATGTAGGCAAATTGCACAAGAATGTAGCCTTCCATTTACAAGAGTGAGAGTTTATTTTAAACACATTGAAAATAGTTTTGAAAAGAAAAGAAAAGATTCTAAAACGGCTAGACAGAAGGAAAGACGACGTAGGGTTGCATCGAAGTCAAAAAATCTTTCTGGTATTGTTACTTCCGCTGAAGGAGAACCTTCATTTAAACGAAGGAAGAGAGAAACAATGGTTCATAAAGTAGTAAGAAAAACGGGAAATTCCGCCCAAGCAGTATCTGGAAATAATGCTGGACGTAAGAGTTTGCGTGAAAAGTTTAAACAAAAAGGAATAACAGATACAGGATCTATTGCCGAAGAAGAAAATTTACCAATTATTGCTGACGAAGGTAAATATTCGATTATTCGTTAACACTAAAAAACGGTCTGACCTCTTTTTTAAATTTTTGCATTACTATAAAAGAACGATTTGAGACACAATATGAAACATTTTCACAGCGTTCGCGTCCAAAATGGAGTCAACACGAAGATGAATTGGTTATTCATGTATATGTAATTCTCAAAGTTCGTTCACAAAAATCGAGGTTTTTATGGGGTGCAATAACTAAAGTGTTACCACATAAAACTAACGAAATTTGCCGTCGAAGGTTAAATGTTTTGATTAAAAATATGGCAACATTAGAAAGAGTGAATGTATTATTGAGTCAATGGCCAAGGATGTATGAAGCTGGATTAAAGAATGGGCATATTGTAGATGAAGATGAGTCAGATATGCTAAATTTTGACTTACCTGGGCACTTGGACTACTTCATGAAGGTCTTGCAGCATCATACAAGGCAAGTTTATTGCATCGCAACGTATATAAAACAGTGTTTATAAATGTATATAAGTGAATTTACATATTTTGTACATGCACATTTAGTAAAGAGAGTCCTGACCCAATAATTCCTCTTCCATGTGACATTAAAACATATGAACGTACTTTTATCGAAAATTACGTATCAACAATGCGTCACCAAAATCTATTTTATGAAGATAAACTTGGTGGTGCTTCTTTGAGGCAGAAATTTTCAATGCTCTATTCACATCCCATGACATGTCGGATTTTTTACAACGAAAGTGTAGATGATTATGAAAATTCGGATAGAAGTGAAAATGACATTAATGTTCAGTGCATCCAAGCATTAGTTAAGGTAAAAAAATTTTTGAACTTGGAAAATTATTATTATTTTATTCAATAAAATTTCTTGTAGATGATTCTTATGACTCCGGATGATAAATACGATCCTTCGCACGCATTCTCAATTCTTAATTTTTATCCTGATGCAATCGTAAAAGTTGCGATTGAAAAATTGAAAGATACGGGAGCTATTGTTAAAGTGAAAGGTGGATCGGACCGAAGAGTTCCTGGTCGAGGTTACCAATTTTCTGACAAGTAAATTATTAATTATCCTATGATATGTTAGAAAGAAATGAATATATAATAATATCATTTTAATTTAGGTTTATTTCGGTTATATCAGGAAGTTTACCTGATCGTATGTTTTCGCAGGCTATAAACTGTCATAAAAAATTGACTATGCCAACAGTATTTGACCAATTTTCGAATAGTGGAGATATGGCTTGTTTATTGGATAAATTCTCTGCAGGAAAGGTTAATAATCTGTTATGCTTATTTTTTTTATATATTTATTTAATTAATACTTAATCTGATATTTATTTAATATTTATTTAATCTAATATTTAATAATAATAATTTTTTGAATTTTAAGGTTACATTATCCTTTTCCGATCGAAGCCAAGATTTATTTACCACCTGCATTATACCAAATCACCGAAGTAGAAAGATTGGTAAGTTGTTTTGCAATATCATATTATGTTCATTATGCAGATTTTTTAGATATATCAGAAATTTCTACAATTCATTATGATTAAAATTATTTTAATTGATAATAGATCCTGCTAAACTTCATTTTGATGTGCTGATTACTCCAATTCAAAAGTCAATTCATAATGATGAAGCAAATCACACCGTTACGAGCGAGGAAGACGAGTTTCCCCATAATTTAATAAAATCTCGAGCCAACAATTCATCTTCAATTAATACACAAGCTGAAGAACTAATTGCCCTACAACAACTTTTTAATGTGCATGATATTAACACTAAAGAATGTCTTAGAAAAATCTATAACTATATTCGGGAGTTTGGGAACATCGGCACGACTTTGACATCTCTAATGGTAATGTTTGTTTAAATTAACTAATAGCAGGTGTTCGACTCACTAATGTTTTATATTATATTTTAGAAATCGGTAGATATTTCTGAACCAGATTTTCCTCGTTATATTTCATTATTAGAATCGAATAAACCAAGCCTTATCAAGAAAGTTGGGTACAATTACAGTCGCTATGTTTGTAGCATTTATGAGAAAAGTTGGTTAGTCAAGACGCATCGGACTCCTATTTATCGTTCCAATAAAAAGTGTATTGACGAATATATGGATCTTGACGATGAGATGTCACCTTCTGAATTATCATTGCAAGATCGACGCCAAGAAACGCAAAATTCAACAGAATCATTCGCCATACCCCGGATGTGGTATGACATTAATGGCAATTTCATTGATTCAGTATTTCGTGGATGTCTTGAGGCTGTTTTAGGAGTTATTATACAAAAGCCTGGAATATATGAGGTAATTATTGCATAAATTATTGATTTAATATCGAAGTTTATGTGCTTACGTGCTTTTTTATTATTTAATGTAGTCAAATATACATCGTAAACTCTCATTGGTAATGTCACGTTGTGAAATTCAAGATGTCCTTGAAGAATTGGTCTACCGTCGTGCTATTTTTAGGAGCTCCATTATTAAACCTCAAAAGGTCTCATTATTTTCGAAACGACGCGAATTTGTTGAATGTGGTAAGTTTAGTTACCTGTTGGCCTGTCGTTATACCTCAATACTTATAAACTATAAAACTATCATTTTAGATGTTAATTCTCTTGATCCAAATAAGATTACATGTTACTGGACAGAGCCGGGATATTACATGAAATGTAGGGTTACGACCTAAACCTTTGCTGAGTGATGATATTATTACATATTTTGGTTTGGGGATTGTGATTTTTACTTCATTTAGGAATAATAACCAAAACTCAAAAATATGTTCTATTTTCGTTCAATAGCATCAAACTCAAAAAACGGTCAAATGCATTAAATTAATACTATAAACAATTTCATTCTCAAGATCCTAAAATGATTTAACGACTAAGCAAGAGATGTTAAATGAATTGAGTTGTTAGGTCTAATAATTGTATCGGAAATGTATACAGTAAGTGAAAGATAATCATAAAATCTTAGATTCGAAATAAAACTTTGAATCATGAACTTTTGGACCGAGTTCTGTCTATAATGAATGAAAACGGTTCGAATAAATGCCTGCATCTATTTGTATTGAATGTACTGATTTTTTGTGTATGTATTATACCGCATTAAGTCTGGTTGATGTGTAGCACTTCACTTATAGCTATTATCGTTATATATTAGGAGATAACTTCATCCAATGGCCTGCAAATTATCTATTTTTATGGTCATTTAAATTTTAAAATTTTTTTGCCAGCCCGGTTAGTGATTGGAACCGATTAATAAAATTCTACTATAAATTCGGGTTGACCCGGTTTTATATAAAATCGGTTTTGTAGTGTTATAATTCGGTTATAAAGCTCTGATAAACCGGTTTTAAAATTATAAACCAGTTTTATTTTTGATCGCTTTTTTTTAAAAGTTATATTTATCTTAAAAATACGTCGAAATCATCTTTTGCACACTAATAAAAAAATTTTATTGCAAAATTTTAGTTTAATTTTGCTTATTACTTCTAACTCCTAACTCTAACTGAGATGCTACATTTAAACAGAAGGCGACATGTAAATTAGTGCGAATAATCTAAATTTAGAGAAAATTAGTAAATGCATGTATCTATATATATGTTTTTGTATAATATAGAATAATACAGGCAGCCATGACATGTATGAATAATAAAAGTATTTATTTGATGTTGAATGATATTTATTTTAAATTACATTATTTCATTAATAATTATATAATTATTGATTAATAATTACATCATATTTTTATTAATAATATTGTATTTTCTTTTATTATTTATCATTCTTTATCAAATAAAAAAATCTCAACTATTACCTTCTAATTTCATAGACAATGTCTTATTCAAAATCTTTTAATTTATCATATAATAGTCAGTTTTCTGATTTTTTACTTATAGATAATAAAGAAAAACAAAAAAGTAAACAAAAATCACAAATCAATTAAAGTTATATTACTACTTTTTTGAAAAATATGAAACAAATTTTCAAGCTGTTTATTATAAAATTTGTAAGAAAAACTTAGCTAAAAGTGATAAAAAACCTTATTTATATATTAAAAAAGGTGAAAATACTTCAAATTTAATTGGTTATTTATGAGATAAGCATAACATTACAAAAGTAAAATTTAGAGAATATTTGAATAATAATAACAAAATAATTTTAATTTAATTTAAAATATTGCTATATATGTATATATATTAATTATTTTATATAATATTAGTTAAATTTAAATATTATGAAGAATAGTTTCTATAACATTATTTTATCAGATTAATAAAATTTAATTACTTATAAATTGATTATCTTTATCATTAAATTTGTTGAACCTATAGGTGTGGCAACCTAGTGAAGTGGTCAGGTTGTCAACCTTCTAAGTAATAAGTTGGGTGTTTAAATTCTATTGATAGCAAAAATTTGGATAATCACCTATATAATATTTGTATTATGGCAACTGTTACTAATGATTAGGTTAAGATATTTGTAATAATGGTTACATCAGCATGGGACATCTGTATAATATTGAAGTTATACAGAGGAATGCAAACTGACAAATCAGGCAGTGCAAACACTAGATAAGTCTTTGTGGCTATGTAAATTTGTTGAAATTAGATAATAAAAAGTCCATTTAGAAAGATCTAAATAGAGAAATAACTGGATCTTTGATGGTTCTGCTGTAAAAGTTAGCTTGACAAAACAAATACCAAGGTCTAGTACCTAGTCATAGTAGTTAAACGGGCAAGAACCTTTAGGTTGAGAGTCTCAAAGATACTACCAACCAGGTCACTAAAACAAACTAAAGAAAAAGGATATTGAGTTGATCTGATATACTGATAGACTAATTGTAGTTCTATATAAGTTATCTAGATTGAAAGTTTGATAAAAAGGCAAAAGAAAAGGCAAAAGTATACTAAAGTACTAAGGTTATGCTGTAAAGTAGATGTTGAGGTCTAAGTAAACTTTACAAGAGCATAGCAGTTTAATAGTTAGTCCTAACTGCAAGTGTTAGTTCTGCTATAGCAATATCTAGATCAGTTGTAAAAATAAATACAAAAGGCTTTGAGAGATTTATCTTGAGGATAAATTAATCCTAAGGTTAAAACAATGATTTGAATATCTAAGTATGATTCAGTGAGTTAATACAGTTTACAGGTTTAAAGAGTTTAAAGTAGAACATTTAAGCAGGGATGTTAGGTATGACAATTGGTAGAGAACCTTCAGACAGATTTCTTAAATAGGTAATATAGAAAAGTTATACATGTAGCTAATTATATGCTCTTCTGTAGTAGTTTATTGAACCACAATACCAATAAATGATTAATAAAAATCAAAAAATCAAAGAGATCACCTTAATACCAAAAAAAAAAAAAATTTGTTAAACCATTATATATTTTAAATGATGAATTATTTCATAATTTATTGAAAACTTATGTACATGAAATTCCATATATAAAAACAACAAAAACTATGATTTATTAAACATATCATTTATATAAGGATCAGTTAAAAATAATGTTGAATACAAATATTGAAGATATTTATTTAACAACTAATTTATAGATTGTAAAATTATAACATGAATATTTAGGATAGCAGGAACTTGGCTAACTTCTAAATTTGAATTTTGAGAAGTTTTTTTAAAATATGAGCATTTAGTATATTCATATTTAGAAGAAGTTATTAACCAAGAACTAAATAATATAATTAATAAATAAAGTTTACAAAGTTCATTTATATTATTATAATAGACAATAGTTCTAATATGATTTATGAAATTAATATACTTTCAGAAAATTTTCAAATAATTAGACAACTATTTGCAGCTTATACATTGCAACTTTTAGTATTAGAAGGGCTTAAACAATGCAAGTATATTTATTACTAAATAAAAAATTTACAAACTTTTTTTAGATTTTCAAAACAAGCTGAAAGACTTCATCTAGTTCAAAATAAACTTAATCCATTTTCTCAATTAGAAAATACAGTCAAACCTCTATATAATTACCAAGTTGGTTGCACCCTAATTTGATGATTATATAGAGGTGTGACTATAAATGAAATACCAAGTTAAAATCACATG